GCGGTTTTCCGCGTGCATGGGGACACATACATACTTGAACGATCTAATTTTACATATGCATCGCATTCTATAGTCGGTCTGCTTTTTCCATAGGATGCATGTATATAAATGTAATATTTAAAATCTTTTTATTATTACTTTTTATCTCATATTCGCAATTTTTGTGATATACTTTTCATGTCAAACCAGATATAACGTAACGAGGTCATCTAAAAACCCCAGCTCACTACATGAGATTTTTATAAAAATTAGCTTGATATCATGCAACAACAAAAAATGTAAAATTCTGTCTCACAGGCTTCAAAATGAATATTCATATATTTTTTAGAGCATGTTAACTACACATTTTTTTTCAAAAATTAAAATTTTAATTCGAACGGCACGCCTATGCTCAGAATGATCTCAATTCTCTTGCATCTATTTGACGAGAGCCATTGATTATGTGGATGGAGGTCCTAAAGCTCCCATTGATATGTTTATAAGAATGTCAAAGATGGCATGTGTCGGAATGGATGATCCATGTGAACCCAATAATCCATGCAAGACAATGCTGAATCTTTAGGAGACAATCGCTCACTGCTCACATGACGATACAGATACATCAATCTGTGGTTGGGAGAGATATACTATACTCTAACATAATACTGAGTGATGATAGGACCAGAATCGTACATAGAGCCATGAGAGAAACTCTACGTGGCGTTATAACGAGTAGTATATATGGCGTTGATTTTGGCAATATCACAGCCAGATGGATCATACGTGGACCACGCCAAAAACTGTGATTCGTATTGCACCACCCGTCGATACTTACATCCTAAGGGCCATAGACCTTGAGAGAGCAATATCTAAGGCTCTTAAACTTATTTAAAAAGAAATTCATATTTTAAAATTATATTACTTGCCTAAATTGTGTATATCCTAATAAAAATGCATATCCATGTATTTGATGAAATTGAAGAAGGAATATAAAGTGAGAGTATAGCTAAGATCCAGGATCCAAAAGTAATTATCACTATTCATAAGATCAGACAGACAATAGCCGAATGTGTCTCCATATGCATCAGTGCCAGATGAATGATTGTCGAGGGACCAAGGACACACCATTTTTTAGATGGTGTACACCGCAGAAAGATGTAAGACATATTTTTAGCCTCGGCGCACATGATGACTAGGAGCTGACACTTACTCAGCCTCAATACACAAATAAGACTAGCCGAGATCATCGAGGCCTCGATGATCAACAGACAGTTAAGGGTGGGAGACAGGTCGGGAAAGAGTAAAGGGAACGCACCATAAAAGAAGGCGAGAGAAGGAGGGACGGACTTCTAGCGACGTCTGTAGATTTTTTTATATGACATCTCATTTATTTTTAGCTGATTGTCTGATCTTTTGTGAAAATATATGGTTGGATAGTGGCTTAGATTGTTTAAAATGATTACTTGTTGGCCATGGATTTTTGTATACACAAATGTGCGTTAGAAATTTCGTTCTGTCATATGTGATTTGCATATATGTATTGTGTATATAAAATAGGTTGCAAAAGAGTATTTCGTGTATATGTGGTTGCACATATGTGATTATTGTATATAATAAAACATGTTTGCCCAAAAGAGATAGCATGTATATGTAGAGTTAGATAATATGTTTGCAGTTGCGTAATATATAAAACATGTTTGTGGAACAAAACAGGATAGCAAATTTGAGTTTCTGCCATTTTCTAACAGCTTTTCTGTGATAGTTTTGGATTTGAAAACAAAAGAGAGTTAGCCTTTCCTTGTATGAAAACCCCTGCATAATTCACGCAGAATTTTGAATCGTGAGGAGCTTTGATAATTCTAAGCTCCATGGGATTCATAATATTGTCGAGATTTCTCCATGCAACTCCATAGCGATTCGAATCCCATTAGAGCTTGGTGCAGCTTCTAAACTAATGCGATTGAGATTCCATATAGTTTGCATTTTCTAATAACTATATGTGACTTTCTCATTCCTTGAGTTCGTAGCACCAACTTCAGCCAAGTGGCTTAGAAACTAGGTCAAATTACGCCAAATACAACGTGCAAAGTAAGTTTGAACGTGACAAATTAACCTGTTCGAAAAAAAGTCAAATTTGAAATATTTGCCCGAATGCAAAAAACTCCACCGGTCACTCAACAGATGCGCTATTTATTTCAAGTGTGCCAATGTGGGAGCCGTATGGCTTAACCCCCTAAAATAAACAACAAGAAAACACAGTAGAGAAAAGTACCACTAGCATTTATAATGAGGTTCGGACAAACTTGCTTAATGTCCTCATGAGCCACACAATAAATTTATTTTATTACTTACCAAATTTACAACTTACAAAAGCAGAAGAATCTCAAACTCTTTGAGATCTCTCAATCAAAAGGCAAACGGTTACTATAGATTCGTACAGTAACTCGTCGAAGAATTTATTCAACTGAAAAATTGCCCCGCTCAGAATCACCCCTCTGAGTGCCTTGGAGAAAATCATGAGAAGCAGAGGTTAGAGAAGAACCTCAGCTACTGCGCGAGTTTTTAGAGAACGATAGTACTTAAAAAATCTCAGCGTTATCTCGTACTCTGGGTTCCCTTTAAATTAGCGAAAACCCTAGTTGAATATGAAACAGGCTATAACAGGCCTATTCATTTGTCTTCTTTTCTGCCCGCAGTTCACCTGCGAGCTTTGCCTCACATTGCTCTGCACAAAGCTCGCCTATGAGTCTACCTGTGAGCTCGCCTGCCGATAGCTTCTTCACAGCTCGCCTGTACTGTAGCTTGATGCTCGCCTACGCATTCTGCTTTGAGCTCGCCTGCACTTTCTGCTACGAGCTCGCCTGTGCCTGAGCTCGCCTGCACTTCTGCCCTTGAGCTCGCTGTGCCTGAACTCGCCCTGCACTTTTTCTTAAGCTTGCCTGGCCGCCTGAGCCTAGCCCATGTAATTCCTAACTTAAGCTCCGCCTGGTTTCATCACTTACTGAATTTTTGCTTTGTGTGCTTGTTACTTAAGGTTTGGGTCTACACCCCAAAACCAATAGTCTCCCACTTGGAGACCAAACCGCCATCTGCCAAAGCTTTCTCATCGGGCACCTTCTCCTACCTGGAGAATTATTCTTTCTCATACGGTGTGTGGCTTTAGCCCTCATCTCTTACACGTTCGAAGGCCCAACTGAAGTGCCACAACTCTTGGTTTCTGAATGATTACCGTCTTTGTTAACATAATCTGCCTGGCATATATACTTCTCTGGATTTATCCAGTTTTAACACACCATCTTCTAATAGGATTTTTGATGAAGTGGTATCGAAGCTTTAATATGCCTTCGTTCTGTAGAATGAAATGCTTAATTCTTAGCAAGTGCTATCACACTCTAACCTATCACTTGCAAAACATTCTTCTCCTGGTTTGATCCCAACTCAGTTAATAAATCCTGAAGCTAGTATCATCTATTTACTAGCCTTCAGTCACTACAACATACTCAGGCTTCCTATAGTGGACAGAGTGACAATCTTCTGTATCTTGTGATATCCAACAACAACTGTATTTTCAAACCAGTGGAATACGATAGCCTGGTGGTGCTGATTGATCGCACTTTATCCTCCTCTTACCTAGGCGTAAGCCTAGACGGGTTAGGCTGAGGATTTTTAAAACATTGCTTAAAATTAGTGTAGAAAGTTTGAGGATATGTCACGTTATAGCCTTCAAAGTGTTCCTTTGAACTTTTATTTTCTTCAGAAAACTGAAGGTGGGGAAACGTTTTCACTTATTAGTTATTACTTATCCTTCTTTTTGCCATTAGACCAAAAAGAAACAATAAGTCAACAAAATATATTATCAAAATACTTACAAATTAAATTTTATGAGTCCACAATTACAAATTCGCCACTGAAAATAAGCTATACTACAGAAAATCAGTGTCCACTGCTCTCCCAAATTTGTTTTGCACAGCTACCCCTATCAACACACATCTAGCATGTACAAAATTTAGTTTTGCAAATATAACCCCATACTCATCTATTAGGACTTTCTTTACTAACAGATTGGAAACGGAACAGAATAAAAACTGCAGCATACTTCTCTCCTATATACCAATTGTTCTGCACCCTTATCCACATCAAAGATTAGGAAATATGCTTTTCCAGCATACCCGTGGATAAAAATTCTTTTGTTTTAATATCTTATAAAATAAAGGTTTATAATATCATACTTTAAATTGCACATATCACCACTCTAAAACCTAGAAAGATAAGGAAAAGGTAGGATATAGATTAACTTTTGGTGTGAAAATTTGTCTTAAAAAATGGTGTAAAATTGCAAACTAAAGCATCAAACAAGGAATCTAAAGAATATCAAGTATTTAATGATTGCATATAAATTATATGAGATGTCTAAAGCATCAAACAAGGAATCTAAAGAATATCAAGTATTTAATGATTGCATATAAATTATATGAGATGTAGAGTGAGGCAGGTTCCCACATAAGGAGTCATCAAGTATTTAATGATTGCATATAAATTATATGAGATGTAGAGTGAGGCAGGTTCCCACATAAGGAGTCATCTATTTGACCAACCATGAACATCTAACTTTAGCAGTTGAATAAGACAATAACTGAAGCCCTCTATGTTTTGCTTCCTTCCATGAACAAGATAGAAAAATATCAGTTACATGAAATAATTAATAACATTGCAGAAGGTTTTAAGTTTTAACACATAAGCAACATATCCATCCAGTTACATGAAATAATTAATAACATTGCAGAAGGTTTTAAGTTTTAACACATAAGCAACATATCCATCTAGTGAGAGAACCAAAAATAAGATAGAACCTATCCTAGCATCAAAACTCAGACAACCTTTCCAGTGGTCATAATATTTTACACATTTGTTAAGTATTATAACATGAAGAGATTACCTAGGGCTAAAAGTAAAATTGCAGAAGAAATTCAAAATAGATAAAGATTTTAAATCAGCAACAACTACCAAGTATTGCGACTTACATTATGTGTTTTGGTTGATGCTCCATTACAGAACATTGCAAATAAAACCTTTTGAAGTATATTATGGCTGTTGCCTGCAATATAAGAACGTATATTATAAGGGCTTACATCGCAACAAGACTCATATGCAACACATACATGAAGAGATCCATATCTACCTGAATTTTATGAGGGAATCTAAATGCTCCACAAACTTCTTGAATTTTCTGTTCATAAAATACCCGCATGAATTGCTCCTCTTCACAATTAAGAGGTTTCGGAAGAGAGTGTCGTTCAGCTTAATACCCAGAGATAATAAAACAACTCAGTTTGCAAAGAACATTAGGTGAAGTGGAAGATGGACTTACACAAATGAAATGAAAAATACAAATATATGCATGAATAACATCTACCGTTGCCTTGTAAAGGCTTAGGATATGACAGTGAACCATCAATATCCACCTCCACACGCGTGGAACCATACTGCAAAATAGGTAAACAGAAGATAATTTTCCATCAAGAAAACCTGATTGAAAATGTTTCAACTGTTACAGACTTGCATGTACAAATCATTTACCACAGAGAAAGGTAAATGATACGATAAACCTCTGAAAGGGGAAAGGATACTCGAACGCGAAATTTATCCATTGAAGTCAGCAGTATAGTTAACTGACTTGGCTATGCTATGTTAAAGAATACAGCTACAGAAAACCTCCATATAATGTACTAAATATAATAAATGGAATGCGGTAACTCTTTTCATGAAAGAACTAATACTGAACCCATGGTAGACAATTAATAATAATGCCAGCGTAGGAACTCCTGAGAAATCTCATACATTGAAATAACATAACCACAACTCAATACACTTTTTGACAAAATGGGTCTTCAAATTAAATAAATAAAGGACAAATTTTTGAAACCGACCTTTTTTCAACTTTATTGGGCAAAATCGACCACATGGGAAAAAAATAGGCAAAACCGACCCTTTTCAAAAGAAAAGGGTCGGTTTTGCAACTATGGAGGTTTTACGAAGTGCACGGGACTACTAGTCCCGTGCACTTCGTTGTCAAGAGAGATTGCTGGAAACAAAGTGCACGGGACTAGCAGTCCCGTGCACTTTGTTTCCAAGAGCCCTTCAATTCAAATGTCTAGTTGCCTTCTATTACCTTGGAAAGACCTCAACTATTCCCTTGTTTATAGAAGAAAAATGGGTATTGGTTACTGTTTCCATTGGCTATGATGCACGCGAAGGTCATCATCTTAACCTTCCCCATTTTATCAACTCTCTCACATCAAGCTTGACAATTTATTATATAATGTTGGTTCGGTGGGGGGCAATGAGCTTTCCCTAGCTAGCAATTCACCAATTGATATTTGCGTATTGGACAACATAAGGGAAAATTCAGTTCGAGTACATCTTCATCCCCATTTCTTTTAAGCTGGAAACAAAGTGCACGGGACTACTAGTCCCGTGCACTTTGTTTCCAGCAGGCTCTCTCGACAACGAAGTGCACGGGACTAGTAGTCCCGTGCACTTCATAAAACCTTCACAATTGCAAAACCGACCCTTTTCTTTTGAAAAGGGTCGGTTTTGCCTATTTTTTTTCCACGGGGTCGATTTTGCCCAATAAAGTTGAAAAAGGGTCGGTTTCAAAAATTTGTCCATAAATAAAATCTTAGAATCAACTATACCTGCTCCAGCATTTTTATAGCTCTTTGATTTGCAGCTTCACGCTTCTCCATCTACAGCAACAAATACATAATGAAATTGGAAAGCCTCTTTTTATTTACCACTTTTTATTGCAAGTAAATTGACATGGAAAACCTCTTTAGAAACAAGAAATTAGTAGAAAAGTATATAAAAAAAAGGGGGAACCCTCAATTTCGTCTAAAAGTAGACATTTTCTTCTTGTTCAGGAATTATGGGGATGAAATTGGAGAATAGATGGGATCACCAGTTCCTGAGGGGTGAAAATCCACTTTGCACGATGAGTAGAGGTCTGGAAATCCGCCATTGCTGACCTCAGCCTACAACTTCAGAATCCAATTTGTTGTTAGTCGTAATAGAATTCTGCTACTCAATTTAAAAGGATTTTAACTCCAAAGAGGATGCTGAGATCTCCTTGATATCGATCCTTGCAAGGGTTTAGTGAAGGATTAGAGTTACTTAGGGGCTGTTTGCTTGCCCTAAAAAAGAAGGAAATCAAGAAATAGGAAACCTATTTCCTTTAAAAAATTGTTTTATAGTTGTTTGGTTGGCTAAAAAAAGAAAGAAATCAAATAATAGGAGATGAGATGAGATGAATTGTCACCATATTATTGGATGATGTGAGTGTTTTTTAAGAAAAGATATTTTGAGGTTGTTTGGTTGGTTAAAAAAGAAGGAAATCAAAGAATAGGAAACCTATTTCTTATAAATAGGTTCTTCTCTTGTGTTTGGTTCATTCTTAAAAATAGGAGATGAGATGAGATGAGATGAGTTGTCATTATATTATTGGATGATGTGACTCACACTTAAGGAAATCAATTTCCTTGTTTTTTTGGAGGAAATGGGTGGTGATGAAATGGAGATGAGATGAGATGAGTTGTCACAATATTATTGGATGATGTGGGTGATTTTTAAAGATGAGATGTGATGGAGATGAGATGAGTTGGATGATGTGACCCATTTCTTTTGTTTGGTTTATTTTATTGGATGATATGAGATGAGTTGTTGAATGAAAATAACATTTTATTGGATGATGTGGATGAGTTGTTGGATGAAAATAATATTTTATTAGATGTTGTGGATAAGTTTTAGGGATGGAAATGGTGAAAATTGCACTTTTGGAGATTTCCAAACTCTAATTTCCTATTCTTGGTTTTTTGGAAACCAACCAAACAGCCCCTTAGGGTCAGCGAGGAGGGGAGGCAGCACAAAGAAACCAACACTTTTAGCAAGAGTTCAGACGTGTTCTAAAATCCGAAACCAGATCTCGTTTAGGATCCACAGCCCAAACCCGACACGGTCCACTTAGCAAGTGATGAGTGAAAACATAGGGACAATTTTTCAATTTCGCCAATTTTAACCTAGTTTCAGCTACCTAACTGAAATTAGGTCAAAATTTCCAAATAAGTGCTACGAACTATACTACGAAATTAAGAATTCCATGTAGTTTAGTAAAAAATTAAACTACGGGATTATCAATCCCATATAGTTTAAATTATGTTAAACTACTTCATGGGATCTAGAATCCTATAAAGTTTAATAGAAAATTAAATTCCATGGGATTCTGAATCTCGTGCAGTTTGTATAGACAACAAAATCTTCATGGGATTCCCAATTCCATGGAGCTGAAGGGATCATTCACAGAGAACATGTTCTCTGTGATTTCATCCCTATAGCTCCACATGATTGGTTTGTATAGACAACAAAATCTTTATGAGATTCCCAATTCCATGGAGCTGAAGGGATCATTCACAGAGAACATGTTCTCTGTGATTTCATCCCTATAGCTCCACGTGATTGGGGATCACGTGGAGCTCTATTTATTCACCCTGCTAGACCCACCAACCCAATTACATGTTTCACCTTCTCTCTTACCGATTCTCACTTATTTCTCTTTCTCTTTCTCTATATCTCTCCCTCTCTCCCTCTTTTCCCTCTAGGGCTTGTGATCTTGACCATCTCTCCCTCTCTCCCGTTATAATTCGACCATCTCTGATCACCTTCTCCTACCGCCACTGATCTCCTTGGTACCAAAGTTTTCCGAAGTTTCTCAGATATCAATTTTAGGGTTTTGACCTTTTTTTGATATTAAACTTTTTTTGGATTTCCCCCTAAATTTTTACATATTCTTACTATTTATTTTAGTTTAGATAGAATGAAAGAAATTTCAAGAGCATTAAAAAGGGGATCTATCACCGCATCACCATTGCTATTGCTTAAGACATATTAGAGATAACTTTAAGAGGAGGCAAGGACAAGTGCATCTACAAGATCTCCTTTGGTAAGCTGGATGTGCAATGGAGAAATATGTGTATGAGCAACCATGAGAGGAAATTAAGTCATTTCGTAAGGTGTGCATGATTGGATTGAGACAAGTTTAGGTCCGAGTAATGTCCAAAGGTGAGCTTTTATGTGAAGATAGTAGGAAACGACTTTGTATGATGACCAAAATACTTGTAAGAGTTTCAATGGTGTGCATAGGGGAGCTCATGATATGCCAATATAGTGCTTAGTTGCAGATATATTTACGGGCTTAATATCTTTTTTCAGAAGACATACACTTGAAGCAAATATCTTGTTGGAGTTGGCCTCAAAAGTTAAAGGCATATTAGCGGATTAGATTGTTTATGCTCAATCATGTCATGTTGTTAGATACAGTTTAATAAATAGGAGGTCATTGAGGGATTCTCACATATAGAAAGTATCTCTTACACAGTTAATATACTTGTTAATCATACTTGTACATACACTTGTAATATACCTAATTACCATAGCTTCCTTGTGCCCATGTTGTAGCAGCTTGTTCGGATTTAGAGGGAGGCACGGGGATATCACACTATGACTTCACCGTAGAGTGTTATTCAACTTATAACTACCAACAAACATACAATGATTGTTTTCATCCACTATACAAATATTCAACATTGGACACATAGAGGGCGACAGACATTACCTCTTCGATATAAGAGAACAACGGGGTGACCTCATTCTGTACGAATTGGAAATACTATGGATAAAGGAGGAGAAGGAGGAAAAATAGGTGTAGTCGATGCAATCAACAGGGCCACAATAAAAATAATTGTCCAATTAGGCTTAGGAGTTTATTATTTGTGGCTTGATTGTATGGATCATGTGACTGACTTTTTTGCACTATATATTGATATAAGCTACTCCTTGCAATACTCTTGTTATTATACATATATTTCTGTATTAAATCTTGAATGGAATCTATATGGTGCCTTACAGGAATAATCCTTGGAGTGTGCTCTTTATATGTTGATATAAGCTACTCCTTGCACATGTTTTATTTTTTAGTTTCCTTTTTATGCTCTATATTGTTTAGTTCTAATTGAGTACATACGATTAAGTCATTTAACTAGAAAACCTAATGTATTGTATTTTAATTATAGAGAGATATACTATGGACCCTGGACCAATCTAAGGTCACACACTACACCAGCAGACCAGTCATCGTTCACACGAGATTGGGTTAGAAGAGGTAAGTAAATAAGTATATATTCTCTAGTTTTGTGTGAATTTAAATTTGTGTATTCTAAAAGATTTTCTTAATTTGGATTAATGTGCAAGCCATATCAGAGATCAACATAGTTGATCATGCCCAGAGTCATTCAGGATGGGAGATGGAGGATGATTGAGTACTATATTTGCTTAGTCAGGCCACTTTTTTAGAGTGTTCTTCAGTGAGATGGATTAAGCTTGACTGGGCCCTTACCCGTGTTCTAATTGATATGTGGAGGCTAAAGATCAACACCTTTCATATGCATAAAGTGGAGCGTACCATTACACTCCAGGATGTAGCCGCCATACTTGAGCTCTAGATTGATGGACGGGCTATTATGGGCACTAATAACCATAATTGGGAGGATATATGTGAGAGGCTTCTTGGACATGTTCCTCATTTGAAGCATGGTTCGATGAAGCTATTGTGTATTGAAGAGAAGTTTATGGGAGATATACCTATTGATGCTACCGAGAAGACGATTCAGTATTGTGTTCGTGCTTAAATTTTATGATGCTACACTATATGTTATTTCCTGATGCAAACAAAAATCTTAACATGCTTGATGGTGGACCATTCTTGAGGATTTTGAGGAGTGTGGCACTCTTTCATGGGGTAGCACATTATTAGCATACATTTATAGAGCACTAGCCAGGGTTTCATTGATGGAGAATAAGTAATTCAAGAGTTGCATAACATTGCTAGAGGTTTGGTGATGGGGACACATACATATTGAACGATCTAATTTACATATGCATCGCAATCTATAGGGTCTGTTTCCATTAGGATGCATGTATATAAATGTAATATTTAAAATCTTTTTATTACTTACTTTTATTCATATTGAATTTTTGTGATATCTTTTTCATGTCAAACAGATATAATGTGAAGAGGTCATCTATAAAACCCCAGTCATACATGAAGATTTTTATAAAAATTAGCTTGATATCATGCAACACAAAAAAGTAAAATTTGTCTCACAGTTCAAAATGAATATTCATATATTTTTTAGATGTTAATACACATTTTTTTAAAATTAAAATTTTAATTCGAACGGACGCCCTATGCTCTAGATGATCTCAATTCTCTTGCATCTATTTGTAGAGAGAGCATTGATTTGTGGAGGGCTAAAGTCCCATTGATATGTTTTAAGATTGTCAAGATGCATGTGTCGGATGGTGTCCTGTGACAATTTAATCTAGAACAGCATGTGCTGGATCTTGTTGAGCAAATCGCTCACATGCTCACATGCGTCGGATAACATCACATCATGTGGATTGGAGGAGATATCGTAATCTCTACATAATCTGGTGGAATGATAGGCAGAATCGTATAGAGCATGAGAGAAATCTAGTGGGTTATAACGAGTATATGGGTTGATTTTGGAATATCACATGCAGATGGATCATACGTGACCCACGCCAAACAACTGGATTCGTATTGCACCCCCCGTCAGATACTTACATCCTAAGGGCCATGATTGAGAGAGAATATCTAAGTTCTTAAACTTATTTAAAAAGAATATTCATATTTTGAAATTATATTACTTGCTAAATTGTGTATATCCTAATAAAAATGCATATCCATGTATTTGATGAAATTGAAGAAGATATAAATGAGAGTATAGCTAAGATCCAGGATCCAAAAGTAATATCACTATTCAATAAGATCAGACAGACAATAGCGAATGTGTTCCATATGCATCAGTGAGATTGAATGTTGTGAGGACAAGGACACACCATTTTTTAGAGGTGTACACGCGAAGATGTAAGACATATTTTAGCTCGGCACATGATGATGGAGCTGACACTTCTCAGCCTCATACACAATAAGCTAGCGAGATCATCGAGGCTCATGATCACAGACGTTAAGGGTGGGGACAGGGGAAAGAGGTAAGGGAAGGCATAAAAGAGGGAGAGGAAGGAGGGGAGGACTTCTAGGACGTCTGTGATTTTTTTATATGACATCTCATT